AGTGTGTTTTTACATACTTATCACTGCATAAGCCACAGTAACAGAACCATTAACAGTATCTCGATGTTCCATGGCAGACTGGGTTACTATACGTTGCTCCTCACGAAGAAGTTACCCAAATAAGTATCTAGAGATGGTATAGGATGACGGTTCGTCAAATTAGATCGTACAGCCTCAAAATCAGGACGGAGCTTCATCAAAAATTGATCTCTCTTGCTCGTCTCATGCACTGTTTGAACAGTAGATAGAGCTGCAGTGGGAACAGCAGCATAAACAATATCGGAATATTCAGCCCAAAGATTTTGAAAACTTGAAAAGTAATCTTCAATGGATAGACTTCACTGGACAAAAATAGCCATCTCGTGCTCCAATTGAAAACGCCGAGCAGTATTGTACTGTTTGTACACCTTGCTAAGATAAGCCCACATATCAGCAGCTGTTTTGTAAGGCCTCAGATTGAGAATGAATTGAGGCTCAACTGAACTAAGGATCCAGGTCATAACCCGAGCATCCTTGATTTCCCACTTCGACAAAGCATCAACATCTTTTGGAGCGGGATCACTTCGATCAAGATGACCCCATAACTCTTTACCTTTGACAAATAATTGAAATTGGAACTCCCAAGTCGAATAATTTTTGCCATTAAAACGAACAAGAAACGAGTCCAACTTGTCAGATGACATGATGAAATAAAACACTTAACCCAATAAATGGACCCAAATATGAAAGAACCGAGTATAAGCCCAAAGAATTAAATAACCAGGAGAAGGCCCAAAGAAATAGCCAACCAGAGGAAGTAGACGAGGCAGTTGCGAAGAAGCAGAAGAAGCCAGACAACCGGAAGCTACAGTACACACCCAAGAACCCTCGATCCACAGTCTAAAGTGCTGAACAAAGGAAAACCAATTGAAGGCAGGACCCAGCGAAAATGGTGAGAGAGAGCACTCTTCGGAAACGGAAAGCTGGAGAAGAAGATTGGAAACACACCGGAACTGGAAAGACGATGAAGAAAAGGGTCGGAATCCACGCTTACCACACCACGACCAGCCCGAACACCGAAACAGGAAGGTCCGATCAAAAGAAAAAAAAAGTATGAGATGTATGTCTAAAGATCTGGTAGGAATTTCCAAGGATCGCTCGTACCAATGTTTAGCCACTATGTCATCACAAGAAGTCGATGCCGATGATAATGCTGACGACTTCAAGATAGAATTATTGACAATGGTTAGTACTACTTGAATTAATACATATGCATGTACGTATTCTTTTTCCCTCAACTAAGTACATGAAATAAAAGTACAGGTGGAATACCATTAGAATTAACTAGATGTTTTGCTAACAATATGCTTAGCATTTGTTTGAGCCCCATTTTTTCACAAAAAAAAAAAAGTTTTGTAATAGTGATTTTTTGGAGAATGTGTTGCTAAAAAGTAGGAAACTTTTGAATTTACGTGCAAATTATTTTATTGATAGAATGTTTGGGTGAGAATGAGTTAGAAAAAATAATGAATATTTGAATAATAGGGTTCAAATAAGGGATTAATATTTTAGAGCCAGAACTTGCAAAAAATTTGAATTTCTAAATTTTTGGAAAATAGACGAGTGTCAATATCCAATTCTTTTTCTTATAGCATGTGATCTACTAACAACTCTGGTAAATACTGTAGCATCAAAGTCTGCTTTTAGTGTACAAGGTCTTGTTTGAGTACATATTTAGACTCAAAAATGAAATATTAGAGAGTTTAATGTGTTCAAAAGATTAAGAAGCAGCATAGATTTGAGTCTAAGATAAATTAGATAAAATATTAGATGACCAGCTAAATTACATGTGAATTTATCATAATTTGTCATTGTGAATGTTAAGGGGTCATCTGGTTTGTGTTTCAATTTTCAATTTTGAGTTTTGAGTTCATTTCCTATTTTTTGTATTGAGGGTTTATTTTAAAATTTTTAAAAACGCATTTAGTTTGTTATTTTCAAAAATTATTTCTCAAAATATAAAACTAAAAAACACATTTGGTTTGAAATTTTAAAAATTATTTTATAACATTTTATTCTATGAAATTTGATTATTGAGTAAAAGTAGAAATTGTTTATGCTAATGTATTGTCTGGTAATATATAGATTTTAAAATTGTGAATCTTACAATATTTTTTCTCACTACAAAAATAAAATTAAAAAAATAATAAATTGAGTTAAAAATATAGAAAATAAAAATTAATGACTTGGACTGAGAATATTTCATTTGTGTTCATTTAACCTTTTTTTAATCATAATTTTCATGTAAATAATCATTAAGAGTTTAGACTATTTTATTTGTGATTTTATTTTTCTAGAAGTTTTTAAAATTTTACTTTTCTAAGATTTTTTTTATTTTATATATTTTAGAATTTTACTTTCTTAATCTTCAGAATTTTAGAATTTTTTGTTTCAATTTTATTTTTTATTTTTTAAAATTTCATATTTTAAATAATTAATTTTTTAAATTTTATTTAAACGTTTGTTTTGAATGTTTTTAGAATTTGCACTAAAAACGCTCAAAATGTTAAAAATGCATTTTAAGTTTTATATTATAGGTTTAACCATGTTTTCGAAAAAAGCATTTCAGAAATATTAAACCACACATGTTTTCAGTATTTTGCAAAACTGAAAACAATTTGAAAACGGGTTAATTTCATAAATGGT